AGAGGGTCTATAGCAAGCCTCATTGATTTTAGATAAGTTTTACAAAAATACCGTTCGAGTATCTATCGATTTTCGAATGAAAAAAATTCTTATCAAGATTCCACCAGCATATGGGGTCCCGCAAAGCTTAACAAACAAGGATCTAATTCATGGATCTTCTCACGAATAACTACCTCTCCTCACCTTCGGTCATGGTGCGTATTCGCACGGTAATTGCACAGCGGCTACCATTTGAATAATTTCATCTACGAGGCAAGGACGTGTACTCACCAGGGACGTGCGCGGCTAGATGGTTGACGACGATCCGCAGCTCGTCAGCTCGTCGAACAAATGCTTCTGATCGGTAATGATCGTGCTGCTGCTGTGTTATTGCTTCTCGTGGGCGTGTCTCTTATCGCCACCGAATGCACGGAGATCGTAAATATGATCGGCTTGACGGCTCGTAACCCTTGCGTGCCGATCGCCGTGCCAAATGTTCGATCGCGATCATCGGGGAACGACGCCGGCGTCGTTTTCGACGGTGCCGATCGATCTCGCTATTTACCGCACTTCCGATTATTAGTTCACGCAACCGCAATATCGGCGTGACAATTATGCTAAACTCGCGAGGGAATATTCGGGCTCGGTGAAGCACTTCGTGAAACTTTAATTTCGCCGGAAGACACTCGAGATGATCCTCCTTTGCCCTCTAAACCTTTAATTGTTCGGCTAATTCATCCGACATTTGTTTCAAAGCCTCTCGTGGATTCTATTTCTCATAAACATGCGATTTGATTACCGCTATAATCGAAACACTTTACACCTCGCATTTATGAGAATCAATGGCGAACATTTAAATTCCAAGTGTTAATTGCAGCAAAGCTTTACGCAATACTTATGTGAACTCGACGCGGGAACAGCAGCGTTTCGCGGTAATAGCCAATTGTGTGACCAACATGATAAATACAAAAAGATGAAAAGACAACGGTAACACTGAAAACAAACATTAACGTCGCATTGCAAATTAAGCATAAAAATCGCTAAAACCAATTAATTGTGATTGTATCGCGCCAACCGTGAGATTTCTTACGAATCATCTTTGAAAGAAGGATCATCTCGTAAACGACCAAACGGTTTCCTATCCTGATTGTACATAAAAAGACAGTCCGAAGATTGTGTTACGAGTTTACCTCGAACTTTTCCACTCGCGAGAATTTTATTGTCTTCGCGTTTTTACGTACGTACAATAGCGACCGACTTGTAAACACGATGCAGCACGTGGTGTTGTTTCCGTTCAGTTGGAGATCGTCGTCGCGATATCCGCGATACTTCGAACCGTTTATACTCCGCTAACACGTTACACGTTAATGATGCGTCTCTCCCTCTCGCGTGTGCACTTAGATTTACGGAATTTCACTGCGCGTAACTTCAGGCGGCGCGCGTTCAATTGTCCTCTGCCGTTTTTTGTCGTCTTTCTCTTTTTCTCTCTTTATCGTTCGAATGTACAGAATGATACCAAATCGGCAGAACTTACCGGCGACAGTTGACAATTGACAAAACGAATGCAATGCCTACAATGAGTTTACGAAGCACGCGGACGCGCAGCTGCTACTAAACTCCTCGAACGGGCGCGAACCAAACGACTCGAAGCGCGCGCGCCGCCACCGCCGAGAAACTGGCGGCAATGAATAGCGACGCCAGCGACGACGACAATGACGCCCTCGCAATCACTAATCAAAGTAACCCTGAAGGGTTGCACCACAAAATTCTCATGGTTAATTTCACGCAAGATCACTAGAGATCTCTATGCATGTTACTGCATATAGAAACGCGCAAATTTCAATTTACACTTTGACTCACTTCAATCGATAAATAACATCAATCGCACTATTTCTATTCATTTTTCTATTAATGATACATTACGATGAATTTGTATCTATATTAAAAAAGAATCTCTTCCGTAATGTAAAAAGTAAAGTTTGAAAATTGCATTTGTAAAATAGCTGCAAGTAACATAATGTCACTCCAAATATATTACAGGGAAAGTGTTAGTCACCTTTGTCACCTTTGTCACGACCTTTATGTCTAGAAAACTGACGGCCACTTGAATTTAATTAATTACTAATGCCGAGCATTGTTAACATATTTAACTAACAATTAAGTATGCAGTTTCCTTGATGGCATTTATCTTAAGCGTTGTCAAAACTGTGGATTTGCAAGATATTTATTATTTGATTCTACATCTCTTAAAGACTATGCTCGCTCTTTGTAAGGAACGGAGAAAAAAAAAACAAAATGTAGAAAATATATACAAAAGAAACATAAAGAGTGGTTACACAAGAGAAAAGTATACTAGAAGGTACATTAAGCTGTATTTTTTCGAGTTACATTTTCTTGGATTTCCTACGCTGAGCCCATTAAAACATATAATACTCTTAGGTCTTTTCTGGAAGTACTTTCGTAGTTTATAGAATGTAGAAACAATATACTTTGTCGTGAAATAATTGCGGTGAAATTTCTCATGCAATTTTCAGCATGACCAAAAGTAAAAACGTTGAAACAATCGCTGTCTGTGTTCAACAATAAATAAAACAATTGGAAAAATTATCAAACTGCAATATTACGTTAACTTTATGTAAACGCAAGTATATAAAAGTGTAAAAATGCTTGCTATTTATTCTTTATTTACATCACCAATACAGCGCTGCCAATTGAATTTCCGCCACTTGGAAATTTATTCTAAGGACTTACCCTTGTTATTCCTTTTTTCTTGCTTAACACGCACTCCTGGACAAGTTTCTGGGTCACAGTGAATTAAATTACTGGAAGTTATTTGCGTTATTTTGTCTGCCAAACACGCGTCTACGTGCAATTTGATAAAAGATGAACGAAGTGAAATGAGATGCTAATTCAAATTTTGCACTTGATCACAAACTACATATATTGAAGAGATAAAACTTTAATAACTTAATTCTTTATTACCACAGTTTTCATGCATTTTTTTACTATAAAAATCCGTTTTAATATCTTGAAATTTGTAAAGTCAGAAGTCGTTCTTTTCCGATTTAAATATTTTCGAACATTTTGAATCAATCATACTTTTCTTAAAATAAAATAATTGCAATAAAATTTTCAACGAGATTTTTGACATGATCGGAAACATGTTATTAAATACCTGAAATCGTCTCAATGTCTCTAGTAAACATGTGAAGATAAAAGCAGATTGTGTGTAAAATGAATATGATAAATATATCATACTTATTAATAATAATATTGAATAAATATATTATAAAGCATATTGATATCTAGCATGGCTTGTTGTGATTAAGTCAGCTTTTGCATAATTGAATGTACACGATACGCTGTTGCCGCATATTAATCCATATGTTGAAATAAATTTTCGTACAGTTTACTTTAAATTTTCAGGATGAAACGACGAGTGATTTGGTTGTGGAACATATTAAGACAATATTTGAGCAACTGCTCAATCCATGGTGTGAGATACCTCGTTGATAGCAATCTTTCATGGATCAAAAGGTAAATTTATTTTCGCAGATCTCTCACATTGTTTAAAATGTAACATGTGAAAGTGCTATGCAAATTGACAACAGAATTCATGGATGCTTATATAATTATCTAGTTGATCTCTTATGCAATTTGTTGGTGAGGTTGCATTTACATAGTAAATCATGTAATAAAAGAGTATCTTTATAATCCTAGAGTACTATCATCGGATGATACCACACACACAGATTGACAGACACCAGTGCCTTCTGTTTCTTTTTGTATCAAGAGTTCAATGCAGATAAAAAACAAATACTTTAGAAAGTGAGTACAAGAATTTTTTCAGAACTTGATTCGCAGATGAACATTTAAGAATTCTAGATCTTTTCTTGGTCAGCTTTCATACACATTTATCATTGTAGTTTCTCCAATTTATTTCATTCAGGAAGTATTTGTTTCACATTTGTTTGTAATACTTTCTTTAAGACCACCAGGTACGCTCGAAAGTGATCCTGTGACAAAAGGTGAAAAAATATCTGCAAAAGAGCTTAAAGCCCCTGCAAAGCTCCTCGACGCTTATGAACAAGTTAGTAATACGATTCCAGTGAAATACGTATTCTTAAGAATTTTGAAATTTAATATACAAATAACTAAAAAAAAATACATTTTTGTTTCACATAATCGTACAGATGAAAGTACCATGCAACAAGCTACTAGGAAGATGCGTGTGAAATGGTGTGGAATTCGATTGTTGCAAAGAGTTTAAAACGGGATCTTGCCTGACAATGAATTCGTTAAATACAGATCAAGGAAAAGCACCACGTTTAAACTTTTTTGTCAATCGTATTGTGAAATACAGTGATCTTGTCATCGATATGACGAACGACGAACAACTAATCTTTTTCTTCAGGAATTTTTAGACGTACGTCACTTTTCGTTAAATACTAAAAGTCAAATAGACACAATTTGCTGTAAATATTAGTCAAAATTAATAAGATTTTATTCATTCTCCGTCTTTTAATTTTAGTCTTTTTAGTTTTATCTAGAAATTAAAAAAATTAACTAAATATTAACAAAGCTTTAATTAATATTTAAAGCAGTCACTTACATCAGATGCAATGTGATCATTTATAATATTATTCTTTACATATCCCTTATTTATAGGTGCACGTAACTCAACAATTACGAAGTACCAATTGTCATCCAAAAGACTCAAGAAGCAATAAGAAAAAATTTTACAACGCGTTTAGATTTCACAATGACAAGCATATACACCGAAGATTCGATGAAGAGTATCTCAGTACAACAGAGAAAGTGTCGTTTCGCGGATGAAGTCGACGATATAAAGTTGCATTATATATACAACGACGATATCTGTATCGTGGAAGTACGAATTTCTTAAACTGATGCATCTGGTTGATGAATATGCATGCATTAAATTTCCATTCTTATGTTTGCGCCAAGTTATCGTATAAATCTTGAATAATTTATGACGTTATTTTCGTAGTTGTACGTTTGGCGAATGTTAAAAATCTGCGGCTGCGTAAATTTCTACTATCCAACGCCGCCGGGTGCAAGAACCTGCAATATGACAGAATCGGAATGTACTTACAATAACAAGGAAGAGATCAAATCTATAGCGGTACAAAAATCGACGTGTGTTCCAAATTGTTAGGGAACGAGCATTGTTATGTATGTATAGATAAAATTATATATAAAATGTGTATATATAAAATTATTTTTAATTATATTTCTCTTTTTTTTTTTTGCTTTTCTCGCTCACTAGCATTTTGATTTCTATTTTAACGATATTAATTATGTTTCAGAATTGCCAACAAGTCTTTCAAACAGAATAAGCAGAGTAACATTACTAGATTCCATTTAAAGATGCTCACTCATCCATTCTTGATGTTTCGACGATATGTTATCTTCGATTTAATAGATTTAGTCGGTAATGTGCCAAGTCTAGCATCTGTATATTTTTGGCATGTGTCTGTCTTTTTATATGGATCTCAACTGCATAACGTAAATTTCAAAGATAATTCTTGATCAAATACTATGACAGTTTCGTTACCGTCTTAGCGATGGGCTAATATGAAGATTTAGTACGAATGTATAAACAGTCTTATCGCAACCTAAAATATTGCCACGGAAATAACACAGTGCAAAACGTGAATTTATATATCTATTTATACGCGAATTCTATCGACTAACATATCAAACAATCGATTAATTATCAGATGTTTGAACGCGTGTGCTTTTTCCATCGGAAGCGCTTTCGGTTTTTTCATTCTCAGCTTTTTCGAGATACCAATATTGACTGTTCGTTCGTCGCGATAGTATCTCATAAAGAATTGACAATTGACACACGCTCGACACGTAAAAATATAACGATATATAAATGTACACAATTTAACGTAGACGTAGATAAAAAGGCTTAACTTCGTTGCATCGCTTTGAAGATGTAAAAGCGTTTATCAGGAAATATCTTGATGGAAATATACTATGCTACAACATGTGATAGTCAGCTGACAATTTGATAAATATAAATGTCAACGACGAGTATATAAAGAAAGACAAATGATTTTGGCGACTATTATTTCTATCTGAACGCACTATTTATAAGAAGAGAATATGGCTAATATAGCTAATACGACTGTACAGATAAAAAGGTGTCCTGAAACAAAAACTGGTGCCAATGTCAACAAAAATAATGGCATCTACAAATTGCTGTCATTCGAAGAGGTGAAAGAAGTGGTGAGACGCGTACTGGACAATGACGTCGATCTGATGGAATACACTATTCGATCATATTCCGAAGGTAAGCTCGGATATCTCGGCTCTCATTATCGCCTTGACGTAAAAGCTGCGAAAAAAAACGAAACCGTCTCTCTCTCGCTCTTTCTCAAATCCGTGCCTTACGAAGTCCCCGATCAAGCCGACTACGTGATAAAAAAGGGTGTCTTCAAGCAAGAGACGAAATTTTACAGCCACATAATACCGCTACTCCGTGAAGGATATCACGGGGAGCCATGGGCGCCGATGTGCTACAAAGTGAAGGATAATTTGATGGTCCTCGAGGAATTGAGCGGCAAGGGTTACTCAATACGGGACAAGCTTTTCGACGAGACACTCGTACGCGCCGGCTTGAGCGCTCTCGCGCGAATGCACGCCGCTTCCCTGCTGGCGGAAGAGCGTCTCGGCGTGCCTTTAAACCGATTGTATCCCGAAGCTTTTGTGGAGAGAGCTTTCAGTCACGACGGAATGACACGATTGTGGTTCGAGGCGGGCGTCGACGTGGCCGCGACCGTGGCCGGACGTTTAGGATACGATTCTGATCTGGTGCGATCGGCTTGCGAAGAAGTTTATCACGCGATGAAGCCATCGTGCACGAAGATAAACGTGGTCAGTCACGGAGATCTCTGGGGCAACAATTTTATGTTCAATGAGGATGTGCCGCCTAAATGCTTACTGGTGGATTTCCAGCTATTGAGATACTCTCCCTTGGCGCACGACGTGGCTCAATTTTTGTATCTCTGTACAGACCGAAGTTTCAGAGAGACGCGGGAGAACGCGATGTTGCGGTATTATTACGAGACGCTGTGCGACACTCTGAATGCTCACGCGAAAATTCGCACGCGAAGATCCTTGTGGTCGGAAGTGGTCGAGGGCATGGAGGAGCAACGTCTAGCCGCTGTCATCACCGCGAGCATCTACTTCCCTACGATTCTGATGGACGAAAACCTTAGCGCGCAAGTTATGAAGGATTCGGCAAGTTATGCCAATTACTATTTCTGGAACAGGAAAGAGTTCGTTCTCTCGAATATGGAGAAAGATAAAGTCTACGGGAGAAGAATTAGCGAAACTATCGTCGAACTAGTCGAACTTGCGTCGCGCTTAGACCAATTAATAAAGCCGTCTTAAAGTCTTAGATACGTAATATAATTTATTCACACGCGTGTGAAGCTTTTATCGACGTCAAAGTAGCCTGTACATAGATTTCGTTTAGAGAATACATAGTTGTTGAATTAATAATTGTATGATCTTACCGTTGCAGTTTGTACGGCAACTTTTGTACGATTTAGGGAACGATATTGTCTTCGTCGGGAAATATAGTAGATAAGAAAGACCAATCGTGATTGGCAAGCTGTACGCTGAATTCGTCCGTATCCTCGTTTTCGTTTGTCGGCGTGACTACGGGTTTCGTCGGCCGTGATGCTTCATTATCGCTCAGATCCGAGGGATCGTCCCGAGCATCGTCATCGCTGTCTCTGAAAATTGCGAGAAGGTCAACATAATGCTGCGACGTAAAAATAACGTGTGTAATTTGCACAAGTTAATTTTATACTTGAAGCTAATACCTAAAGCTTTCGGCACTTTTCAAGTGACTCTTCGACGACTGTTGCCCTCCCAACGACAGGATAAACGATGAGCACAGCAATCTCATCGGCGGCAAAGTGTGCGCTGACACACTGAGCAGCTGTAAAAACAAAGTTATGAATTAGCATAACGCGAACAAGTAAATGTAACAAATCCAAATTAATATTATCAGTTAAAGTTTTATACGTGCGTGCACGTATCTTGCAACGAATTAAAATGTTTGCCACGCAGCACCGGTGACAACCGGCGGTAACCGGTCGACTAATTAGTTTTAAGGCTAACACGACACACCTCCAAGTGAAAATTTGTGCAATTCTCGTAATCTTCTACTTCAAGATCTAGGTTGATTCGTCTGTTGCATCCCACACGAATATTCTCCGCAACACCGTGTACACTTTAGAGCGACAAACGAAACTGTATGTTATAGCTAAAGCTCAAAATATATTTTAATCCCGTTGAAAAAGTAACACAAATTTGCAATTGTTGTTCTGCACAAGTTCCTTCTCCAATAAATATTTTAAATACCAAGATACATGCAAAGTTATACTACATTTGACAATTAATGCAGCATTAATATCTCTCTTTTATCAAAGCGTCCATCAAGCGTATCAAAAACACTTCACAGAAACTCTTGTTTCGTTTCTTGATAATTGTTGACACTGTTGAATTATACTGTCGACGGTGTGACGTATGTATTTGGACCAAAATGAATATTTGGGTTTTTTCCTCGCCTCTAACTTTTAGGATGACGCAAATGCTCCGGTAATAACGTCGGTTAAATTTCACAGAACAGTGACGACAATATTCACGAAATTACTCATACGAAAAAGACGCCTGGAGAATGTAGTTTATTGTCGCCTTAATCAAGACAATTACCAGCCGTAAAGTCTGATGTTCCCTCACGCGCCTCTATTTTCATAGTAATGCGGTCATTAGTAAAGTACTTGCGTACAACAGTGCGCTAAACGTGGAAAAGAAGATATCCTAGTTGCTATTCTCGGCATGAAAGTGTTATTTTTAGCGCAGGAAGAAGCGTCTAGTCTTTTCTTCATTTTAACAAGAATTATTTAATTGCTAAACGTCAAAATATACACAATTAACACAACTAAAATTAATGTCTGTTAAACCATTATGTTAAAACTAAGATAAAATCAGCAGCTGTACAAAATCATTTAAATATAGTAAAATATATTTTTTTTTTTTAATTTAAACAAATTGCGGCCATAAAATATTGGTAACAATAATCAAACAATTGGTAACAATAATCAAACAATTGGTAACAATATAGAGACAGATTGATCTAAACTTTGCGTTCTATACCGCCACGACATTTTATTAGCAGGTATCAATGGTAACAATCGAGACGGTCGCCGAAGAAGATAAGACTTTGTTCCTGCTGGCCTGGTTTTACGTGTACGAGCAATTCTGCGACAGATGCTATTTTCGCATTGCACGGGGTATTCCATTGTTATCGATGCAATGAAACATTTCGAAAATTACGAGATACAAATTTCACTCATTTTGAACATTATTTGTTATGGAAGCGAGACTTTGTAACAATTAATTTATCTATAGTGAAGTCATTTGGAACATTTTACAACTATGTCAATCTTTTCAATGATTTAATAAAAGTATTCAAATTAAAGTTTTTAAATATGAATGATTAACAGATTATTCAACTCGTCTATAAATGAGCTGTAAAATTATTTACTTATTTTAAAAACTAAATATCAAGACTAATCTTATTATATATTTTTTTAATATCAAACAAAATGCTTTAATTAAAATAGAATACTTTCTATGACTTCTTTTTTATTGTATACGTATGAAAATGAGCTCAACGACCTGTTGTGATAGTTAAATATATTCAAAAACATGCATTTCGTCAGAATAGTACATTTTTATCTGGAGTGAATAGAGAGAGAGAGAGAGAGAGAGAGAGACATACAAACAAAGTTACTTTTACCATATTCATTTCTGATAGCAGTGGAATACATTCCGTTCTCGCGCACATAACTAATTTCGATAAATTCTTCGATGAGATATTTCTCGAGTTTATTTTCGACACGGCGGATTAATTATTCGATACGGATGCGATGTATGTGTTACATCGAGCGGCGTTCGGTCTTATCTGCCTTTTTCCAATATACAACCGCCTCACTCTGTTCAATTTGCCAGGGCAACATGCCGCCCACACGAAGAAAAGACAAGACGGCTGATAACGCTCACCGTGAAAACACTAAAATATATGTAAGAATGCATGAATAGGTGCTGCAGTGCCAAAGCGATAGACAGAGTCTGCGATACAGCGGCTGTGACGTGAGAGGCAATAGGATTTCCAGCGAAGTTTGCCTGTTGTCCAGTTGTCCTAAAGGGACAACTAGAACGCCGTGAGAGGGTGGGAGTCTCTATATTAAATCATGGCGAGACTCCTGCTGAAAGCCAGTCGTCCGCGGAGCGCTGAGACACACGTGGAAGATCCTCTCACCGTACCTCGGCTGTCGCAGAAAAAAAGTACTGAATATCATTCTGTCATATCGTCCGAACGTGGTGATCTATGGATCTCATCAAAAAATCATTCGTGTCGACAAAGGCTGGATAGAATCGCTTGATATCATTCTGACGTAGAAATTTTGATGAATTCACATTTTTAGCTGAGGAAAGCTAAAGTTGAAAAAAAAAAAGAGCTTGAAGAGAGATTTAATCGCAATCAGGTCGCTTTGATTGAAAAGAGAGGAGCGGACCGAAAAGAACCGGGAAATTGGAGGAAACTCAGAATCTCTTTAAGCATCTCGTGAATAAAAGCCGGTTTCGGAAATGAAGCTGACTGGATTAAAATTGTTGTCGTGCCTGTTTACTACGTTATTACTCGCAGTGGCTACGCTTGGATATCCCGCCAGCAACAGTGAAGCAGTAAGTCTTTGTACGCAGAGTGCTTTAACAATTTTCGATCATCGGGAATCTCGCTCTTGCAAATCGCACGAATGAGGCATGATACAGGATTTCTTTTTCTCATTGAATGTCCATCATAAGAATTACTCGTATTTTTCTTCATTGTGAGCACGTGGGACGTGCATGATAACGTCGAAAGTATGAGTGGACGTTGGTCATTGAACGTTCCTCATTGAACCAATCTTTATATGCTCGAGAGAGTGCGATGATGCATCTAATCACATCGAGCCGTAGGTGGTATGTGATCTTATAAACAGGAAGACTTTCGGCCAAGATCTCAATGACTTTTGACCCTCTTAGTAGTTCGGCCTGATTTCGAGCGCGGCCAGTTGTCATTATATATTATCTCATCGAACAATTTCTTTTTCCTTTCTGCACTTCTACTAATTTTTTGCGCATCGATAACTTTTTCTTTCTTTAATAATCCTAATAATCCTGTTTAAGCTATACAATTTGCAGGCAATCGAGAACATGAGGCAGATTCCGCAATGGCATTGTCTACGCTACAGAAAATTTGATTTTGTTCGTCGCTGTCGGAATTATCGTTTAGGAAGGAGACACTGACAAATGGACATTCAATACGATCCGCGACTGACAACCAAGATGCACTACGGCAAATTTCGTCGTCCTGTTATGCAGAATATGCCATTTTAATTTCTTAAGCCATATAATTAAGCTTAAGTTTATTTAAATTATATACATATAATTTTAAATTATATGACAAACATATATAAATGCATTTATGTTAAAAGGCATAAATGCCTTATATTAGAAATTCATGTTAAGTGCATCAAAAAATATTCTATTTTTGTTATCTCATTTTTACTAACAAGTCTCTTCATTTTTTCGTATCCATATTTTTTCACACTTTTGAAAATAAAAAAAAATTCTTATTTATTCTTTCTAAATTGCATATAAAATACCCAAAATTGAAACAATTTATTATGCTTCTTTTATGAAAAATATCCACACATAATTTATTCTCAAATTTGTTTCTTCAATTTATTTTAGATTAGTTAATTTGCATTTATTTTTCAAATTGTCAAATATTACTTATTTTAAACTTGATCTCAAATAATGAAATTTATTTATATTATTCAACACAAATACTACTTTTGTTGCCGTAATATATCATGCCGTGCAAGAGTGTTGCCAGTAAAGACAGATATGCAAAGAATATAATGGGAATTCCTCCGAGTCGCATAATTTCTATATCATGGTAAAACAAAATAGATAACAATAGTTTATATTAATTTCAATGTGCCGAAGTAGAAAATATTTAAAATACTTATTATAAAATAAAATTTACTTTAAACTCAAAAAATTTACATGCGCGACTTGTAGGAATTTCTGGATAAAACATAGATTTCAAAATTCAAAATTGTACCTACTTCTTCTACCATTCCTTTTCCCGGTATGCCGAGATGTTCATGAACTTGTGCAACTGTCTGCTCTTTACTCGAAGACGTTTGAGCCGCTAGTAAGTTGGAGAAAGCGGTCAATGATGTTGTTCTTTTCTCTGACAGGATTTCTAAAGAAACACCCGCTTCAGATTCGGCCTCCAATGTGAGCAATTCCTAAACAGATAATGCATTAGATAATAGAATGTAATGTATGTAAGCTACGTCTCCAATCCAAGTTGAAAAAATGTTGAACAATTACATATATTTTATTCGCGTGATGTTTGAAACGTACCTGATTCGAATTCAAAAAGTATAGTTGTGACTTTCGTTGCCATTGGCCGAATGAAGGATTGCGTTTTTCTTGCAAATGAGGTACAAAAGTAGCCGCTAATATGGAACTGGTATTTTCGATAAGGCATGTTTTCTTGTAAATAGGCGTTGCGCTTTGTGGTGTAAACACAAACACTAAAGGTAAATAAATTATATTAGAAAATTAGGAAAATATATTACACGGTAGCATGAAAACGAGATATATCGTAGTATAGTAAGCTATAGTTACTAAATTAAAAGACTTAATATGACTGTTAAAGTTACTAAATTAAAAGACTAAATATGACTGTTCCTTTGGCAATAAAATCAATAGAATATTAAAACACCTTGCGATAGAAACATACATGAGTTATCAGATGTAAATGCTGCCATATACGTGGATTTCGGATCGTATGTGAGACTCACGACATTCAAGGGTACGCTCCACGTTATAGCGAGAGTTAAAGTATTCCAAACCATTATGTGTTGCTGAGACGCAACCACTACCAGATGACAGCTTTCGTGTTTGCCAAATTCTACTCGTCTATTATTTGATAATTATGCGTTAATAAAGAATTACTTCCTCGCTTAACTATATTAATTGATGACTAGAATATTTTACTACTTTTTGACTTACGTTATTGGATAGTTGTATTGAGAATGTGTAAGACTGAATTTTAGTTCGCAAGTTTCAGGTATCCAGATTGTTAAAGTAGAGTGAAAACCAATAGCCAACAGTGAACCATCCATAGAAAAACCCGCATCTGTGGCGGCTAGATTACGATAGTCTCCCACGCCGTAACAATACCAATGTTTTGTCTTCTCTGCAGAAAATACAATTAAATCGATATGATGTTTCGCTAAATTCCGATGAAACTTGCTTCATTAACTAAATAAATATATGTACTTTCTACAGTCGAAGATTTTCCTAAGCTCCATAATTTGAATTTGTTATCTTTGCCGGTGGTAACTGCTAACCATTCTTCATCGTCAAATGTCGTGTCTGGCTGAAAATGTAACGCGTTTATTCCATTCTCATGAGGTAGTTCAATAGATGTATTTAACACAAAGCTAAAAACGTTAACAAATTATACATTAGTATTGTCGCGCTGTTCTGAATAAATGTAAGCAAAAAAAAATGTATATAGCGCACTCTTACATCTGTTTATCCAGATCGTATGTCCAAAATTTTAATCTAACTTCAATAGACGAAATTTTATCATTCCGTTCTTCGACTGTTGCCATCCATGTGCCATTATGATTCAGAGCTGTTTTTGTAACTTCTGTATTTACAATAATTACGTCGCGCTCTTGTGTCAGAAAGTTTTGTGCAGTTATATTAATCTGAAAAGGTTATCACTATGTTACTTGTTCGTAATATTCTTATCGTATTGTTTAATATGTGATAAATGTTTCACTCACATTGTAGAGTAGATTCTTCGTATGAGTGTTATAAAATTGCACATGTCCAGTACGACTATTTAAAACGAGACTACCTGTTCTCGGATCCACGATAAGTCCCGCGGGAAACAAGTCTTTGGACGATGAGGCAACACCCCATGTAAAATTTTGTATCACTGATGTCAATTTTCTTTGAGGATTTACAATAACAATACCTAATCAGAATACAAATAACCATTATAAACTTGTTATTATTAAGAAACTTTTGTAAAAAAGTAATAAAGGATTTTACCATTGTCTAAAGTTGATACAGCTACATACAAGTTATCAGATGCAATAGTGAGGTGTTTAATAGGCGCCGGTAATCGTGGAAGAAATGACTTGTGTTGCGGATTTGCTAGTGTCCACTTTACCAATACACATTCACCACCACCTGTATACATATGACCACCTGTAACAAACAAATATATTACATCGTGTTAAATTATTACCAATAATATATATATTATAATTTCCAACATCTATTACCTGATATGCTAAATGCTATTTCCGTTACTGGCAATGTATGCCAATGAAAAACCGATGTATATGGTCGATTTAGGAATAAATTTCTCCACACTACTACACGGCCAGTAGAATCTCCTGTGGCAACGCATTCTTCTTCTGGATGTCCCGCTATACAAGTAGATAATCTACCTGTTCTACCAGTCTTGTGTCTACATATTTATATTATAAGTTTAAGATTTTATACGTGTTTTTTAATATATATAAATTAAATAAATATAATAAAAATTATTTTTCTTACAGTTTATCGACTAAATTTCTAGCTGGATTTAATATGTGTAAATCTGTATCTTGTAAAAGTGCTATTAAATTTTCTCCATGATTTCCAATTACATCAATGTAATACTCTGATGACTCTGTGCTAAAAAGTAAATAAATTATAAGAATATTTATGCAATTATTAGAGAACAAACTATTTACTAAAACAAGAAAATTGATTAAAATGTCTCTTACACAATGTATATTGATTTTGTGCATATTCCATTTTCTATATCAAATAAGAGTACATATATCTTCTTTCCACAGTTAGAAAGGTGAGTTATTAGTACTTGACATATCTCATTTCCTTGAAATGTTTTATACTTTATAATGTGAAAAGTTTTAATTTTTACCCCATAATTTGCTACAGCTTTTAAGTGCTGCAAAAAGTATAAATATATATTATATTTCTAATAGTTATAAACTCATTATAAAGCAAACTTATATTAAAATAAAAATCTTACTAGTTTCTTTGTAACAATGCCACTTTGACAATCCCAGAAATCCAGTTCCCCGCTTTCGGTACAACCAATAATAGTATTGGCGTTATCTGGATGTAATATTATTCCAGCAATTCTGTAATTCGAGGGTTCGAATTCTCGTACAAAGTCTCCTGTTTGTGTGCTGTACGCTCTTATTACATTCTTCCATACTATATACAAAGTTCTAAAAAAATGCTCTCATGTTACACATTCTAATGATTTTGTATTTGAAGAACTGATTGAGACTCCAAAAAATATTAAAACTTACTCTGCGTTACTGGAAAATAATGGACGTTGATCAATTATACTTCCGCCGCCTTTCCTTTTCACAATTAAATCGTCCAGATCGACGAGATTAACACTCTTGTCTGCAGCGTTTTTGACTAACTTCATTTGCATCTTGATGTTTGTATATGTACACGATATGTTTAAAAATGTTGTTTTAAATTACATATATGTGCACAGGAATTATCATAATTTTTAACTTAAGACACTTGGTAATTAGTAATTAATGGACACTTAGTAATTAGTATATCAATAATTAATATATATTTCGAACGAAGCACATGGTTCACTTCTCACTATTTGCCGCTCAGTGTGCATGTGTGCAGAAGTTCGCCATGGAAAATGAAATAAGAAGAGCGTAAACTCATCATCTAAAACAGCAAGGTAATTGGACAAAACTCTAGGAAAAACTAAACAAAACTAGACTAAATATTTTTTCATTGGTACAACTCAAGCTGGACAAATTTTGTTTAGTTCCAGCAGAGTCCGCTACGAAGCGTGACAATCTCTGTGGTTGCATTGGGATATACGAGTGTACGAATCACGATAAATTGGACGAATAATTTTTAGTGTATCTAACAGCAATCGGTTATTCGTGGATGCATCAAATTCCACTTTTTGTAGATCCGTTGAGATAAAGTTATCGCGAACATATTAATTTGCTACGGTTCTACGTAAATTTCGTGTAATGTGATACATTCCGCTTTTTAGCCTGTGTCTTTAACAGTTCAAGCAATACTGTACCATTGCTCTAATCGACGTTGACGTTGTAACAACAATGTCATTATTCAACAAACCGAAGCGAAATATACGCCGACGTCCTTTCAACGATGAGGATGAAGATAATGAGAACAGAATGGAAACGGAGGACGCGCAGCCTATGAAAATTAAGACGAAGAAGAAGGATAAACCAAAGCAGACGCTCCTCAGTTTCGGAGAGGAGCTGGAACAAGGTGTATATACACACAGGCTTGTACATACAATGTGTGCAATTACTGTGCTACTCAATAATCTATTTTACACATATCTTATTATAATTCGCTTTAATTAAAAAATAGGACTGACTTATAGAATAATCCTAAACAAGGGTATCTTCGTAACCATAATGAAAGGACATAAAGAATGTTTTATAATACAGATGCAGTTTCATTTGAAACATAATATTTAGCTAATAGATGTTATTACAGAATCAAATATTGTACAACATAGTATGTTCTAATTGAAATTGAAAGTTGAAATAAATTCCAGGGGACGATGGAGAGGTTTTTATAGTCAAGAAATCGTCAAGGAGCAAAAAACTGATGAAACAACTAGATCACGAAAGGAGAAAAAAGAAAGGTGAAGAGAAAATGCAAGTGGACACTGAGCAAGCGAATAAATCCATTAAGCAGGAAAAAGATTTAGAAATAAAGACAGATGATCTAGTAGTAAGCTATCTCTATGATGTTTTATTATTATTAGCATTTCTTCAATTTAAGTAACTTATCATTTAATATATATATGTATATACAAAGAAGGTTTCTTACATCTTTCCGTAATATACTGGCTAATGTTTCAAGATTTGGAACAACTGTGGGAGTACAGCAAGAAGACACATTTATAATACTTAAATATTATTTTTACACAATAATTATGTGTATATTTCATAAATTAACTCTCATATCAAATATTTTACTTAAAAATATTTTTTTTAATTATTAAATTTGGATAAATTAGAATTTATGATGGTTGTTTCGAATTCCATATCGTATAATGCTGCTTTTATCTTGATAATTATGTGTACTAGCAGATAATTCTAGATAATGTCTATATTATAAAAATGAGGATTTTGTTATGAGTGCTCTTTGACTTATTTAATTATCTAATTGAGTGTCGCTATGTACACAATCATCTTGCAGTAAGCTGATTTTTTTTTAATTATAAATTAACAATTCTTAATGGATATTTCTGTATGATATATCTTGTTTCATTACCATGTTATTTTATTAATAGAAGTACTTGATTTCAAAATTTATTAAAATTATATCTTGGGAATTTTGTCTTTCTTTGTAGAAAATTACTAACGTGTGAAATACTTTTATAAATTTTGTAATTTTCATGCTTAAGTATGTATCTTTACTAAATGATATATAATCTTTATTGCTAGGTTAAAATAAAAAACACAGGACCCCTGATTTTAAATGGACGGGCTGCATTGGCAGCAGGAAAGGATGACTATACATCGGGTGAAGAGGAAGATGAACCTTGCAGTCACAAATTTAGGAAAAATACAGATAAAGCCGAAACTATGAAAATACTTCTTGAAAGTATGTAATTCTTATATGATATATGAGCTAAAAAGTTAAATTTTGTTAATTCAGTAGTAAAATATTTTTATATTAATGTGATAATTAATGTGATATATACTAATCATTATGTTTATTTAGGTGGATGTATACCTGATGCTGCTATGATCCATGCAGCGAGAAAACGTAGACAAAAAGCGCGAGAATTAGGAACCGATTACATTCCTATTGAGGAACAAAGGTAGCATTTTGCTCTGTTAACAAAATTATTATATAAATGGATAAATTATTTATATCTTTTTTATGACCCGTGTTGTATCTATTAATGACAAATTTGTATCTACAGCGATGACAAAGGCAAGTCAAGATTAATACGAGAAGAAGATCATGATCGAAGTGACGATGATGATTCTCAAGATCGACTTGATATGACTATCAATACAGAAGCACGTGATAAAGAAAAAAGGAGAGAAGCGTTTCTTGCTTCTCAAGTCCCAATGAAATGTGAGTTAGAAATAATGTCCAACTTTTGATTTGATATTTATCCAAAGCATTTAAAGCCAGATAGAATGTGAAACATATTTTAATTTAGTTTCAGACAATGAAAGTGAGCACGAAAATGAAGAAGAAGAATGGGAAGCTCAACAAATACGAAAGGGTGTAACTGGTGCTCAGGTAAAGGCGAAATGCAGTAATAAGTTAAAATTGGAGAAAATCTTTCGTGGTTTGCAGATTGTAGCGGCACAGCAAGATTCTATGTTACAACAACAATACACAATGGGTATGAATGTTAATCAGATGATGGGATCTAATGTACCTTTAGAAATGGTATTAATGCCTGCGCCGCCGCCGCCACCGTCCATTCAACCACCAGATCCAACAAAAATCGTGCCTGTTACACCACAGGAAGTTGTAAAGAAAATGCGTGCAAGGTTTTACATTTTTCTCTGAAAATATTTCTCAGATTTCACAGAAACAATTGTTAAAAAACAGTTTCTGTAAATGCATATTATTTTTTGAAGGTTGGACAGTTTGAAAGAGGTACATAGACGGCATCAGCAAGATCAGGAGCGTTTAGAGCAAGAATTACGACAAACGATGAAAGAGTTGGACGAGGGTGAAATCCGCACGCCGCATTACGCACAACGCTTCAGATATTACCAAGAGTTGCGTGGGTATGTCACTGACTTGGTAGAGTGTCTTGATGAGAAGGTGGGTTGATACGCTGTCACGTTTGATTTATGTGCACTGGGGTTTATCGTACAGTATGCGGCTGGCAGAGATTCTCCAGTCCCAGTAAAGTACCAGTAACTGACTATATTTTCATATTTACTATCTGAATTATGCAAAGTCATGTTTTAAAATTGAAGCATTGGCTGAATTTATATCAAATAATCATATGGCGCAATGATAATCTTTTTAATTGTATTAATTGAATTATTCTAGTTTTTATAATATATACTTCACTTTAAAAATATAAAATATATAGTATAATGCAAAAAAAAAAAAAGATTTCTTATGATTTTTCGCTTCTGACATTATGATTCAATATCGTTGCAACGACGGCCCAAAACTTAAATCAGAAAAGATTTAATATACACTACTTAAGAAGCTAAAAGAATATTTGTTTAATCGTTTTTCTAATTGATTTAGATTCTTGGAAACAAATTATGCAAATATTGCATAATTAACACTACTTCAGCTTATATATTAGTTAAAATTTGTTAAAATAAATTGCTGGAATTTTTCAAAATTTGTTTCCACAACTATTGATAAATAAAACAGACAAATAATTAAATCCTCTTAAGTGGTGTATTTGTTAATGAGCTTAAACATTCATAAAATAAAGGGCATGTGTAACATATGTTTCCATTGCCGGGGGTCATTATCTTCTCTGTATTATATACGTTAATTTTATACACATTTCATAAAAATATATACGTAACATAAATGAAAATTATTATATGTATACGAGTGAAATTAATATAAATTAATTTGATTATGGTAAGTAAGTTAATGCCTATTTACCATTAATGTATTGTACATGTATACGTAATTGTTAATGTATTGCTATTCAAGAGTTTTCTAAATGATTTATAAAATTGTGAATTGTCGACAAGTTATTGCTTCTTAAGCATTATGCATTACTGTCACAGAGTCGTTAAATTAATCATTAACTTTTAGTGTATGGGACATATTCATTGAGTCAACTTAAACGCATCATTTTTTTGTTAGCTTCCCCTGGTTATCGAGTTGGAGCAACGCTGGTTAATTCTATATGGTGAACGATCAACCGAATTGATGGAACGGAGACGGCAAGATACGAGGGATCAAGCGGAAGAAATAACCACTGCAGCAAGTCAGTACATTTTTATACTGAGAATATATAGTTGATTGATATTTGCTATTTAGCATAAATATTTTTTATTTCTGATTCTCCAGTTTTGTCATTCATTTGATAACTTTGTGCTGCAGCTAAAAAATTCTATAATCTTCTTTGTTTTTTAGGAGGCCAAGCTATGAGAAGAGGACCGGAAGTAGAAACTCATGTACGACGAGCTACCGAAAGGGAAGGTAGGAGAGCCCGTCGCAGAAGAGCGAGAGAATTAGCCTCGAATATGCCGAAGCATATCGATGGCATGTCCAGTGACGATGAAGTCACCGAACAACAAAATCTTGCATTTAAGCAAGCTAAAGGTAGCGATCAATTTTATATTTTAAGATTTCTGATCTTTGTCTCTTGTTCGTGCTTTTAACATGTAATTCTGTTATAATTATAGATGAAATTGACAATGATTGTAAAGAAATATTTTCTGATGTCATGGAGGAATACTGTACAGTACGTGGTATTCTTTCCAAGTTCGAATCATGGAGAGAAACGGACATAGATGCCTACACAGAGGCCTATGTTTCATTGTGTTTACCCAAGATTATTTCGCCGATTGTCAGATTACAATTAGTTACTTGGAATCCAATAATGGTATTCTATTCGTTCTTCTTCACGACAAATCAGTCTGCAATATTTATAAGTAATATCGAATTATTCCCGCAGGAAAGTGCTGACATAGAAAGGACAAAGTGGTACAATACATTGCTTTTATATGCCATAGACAGTAAAGAGACGGAGGAATCGTTGAAACGGGATCCAGATGTTAGATTAGTCCCATCAACGATTGAAAAAGTCGTGATACCAAAATTAACATGTGAGAGCGATATAAATTATTCTTTGTAATTTTTATAATGCCTTAAAAAAAGATTCACTAAGTATAAAATAATTCTACATCATCGTTTATCGTGTTTAGCTATTATTGAGAAAATTTGGGATCCAATGTCGACATCCCAAACGCTACGTCTTGTGGGAACTATAAACCGCCTGATCAAGGAATATCCGAATTTAAATGATACGAGCAAACAATTAGAAACGTTATTCAATGCAATTTTAGATAAAATTAAAGCTGCTGTTGAGAATGATGTTTTCATACCTATTTTTCCAAAACAGTCAGTATATATTCAATATATATATAATAAAATTATGATTGATACATTTTTCATACTTATACATTATCTTTTCACCATTTTCAACATAAATCAACGTTTTAGAGTTTGGGATACGAAGCATCAATTTTTTCAACGACAATTTGCGATGGCTGTCAAGTTGCTACGCAATTTATTAAGTTGGCAAGGTCTTCTCGGGGATGTGCAGTTGAAAAACTTGGCACTAGGCTCGCTTTTGAATCGTTATTTACTTGCTGGATTACGAGTTTCTTGTCCGACTGAGGCTTTGTTTAAAGCAAACATGGTACATTTAACATTAAAATATTTATATCTAATCAATAATTCTTGCGCCAAAAGACATTTAATGTTTCAAGCAATGAGTAAAATGTTTATCAATTTGTTAGATCATGAGTACACTACCAAGAGCTTGGCTACAAGGTGAAACTATAGAACATCTCAGAATGTTTGCCACCCTCATTCAACAGCTTAGTGAACAATTGGATCAAGCTAATCCTGCACATAAGTAAATGTTTATTAATAATTTTCTTCTGCAATTGTGATGATACTTCTTTCATATTATAAATCATTTCATATTATACGCAAATCGTATAAATGTGTCTAAAATACAATTTGTATGTTACAGCGAAGCCTGGGAATATGCCAAATCCATTCTGAAAATAATCAAGCCATCATAATGTGTTGATTATGTATCAGTAATACTTTATCAAACTTTTTGCTTCAGTACTCCATATGCTTATTGATAGTTTTATACATATAACACCGCAAGAAGTCCTGTACATGATACAATCATTTGTCAGATGTATAATATATCAAGAAACACAATTTTGTATAGTCATAAAGTAAATAAGACACTTCACGGCATGACACACCTTCCAGATACGAATGTATATAACAGGCAAATGAAAAATAAAAATGTAAATAGTATACTTGAGTGGCTGAGTTTTGTCTTTAAGAAATTACAGAGATAATAAAAATTACGAAAAATACGTATCTGCGTTCGTATATAATATATTCTATAATAAAACTAGTTAAAATAAATCGTCTTTATTATTGCAAAGTTGTAAAACGAATATTTTAGTTTCTAACATGAAATGTGTATTTTAATCAAATTTACATGTGTACAAAAATACGTAATACGAATCAGTATAAACGTATTAAAAATCAATATAATGCATTATTCCATCGTAGTATGTTTTTGAAATTAATACAGATATTAAACCAAGATCCTGTTATTTATAATTTATTTACTACAATAAAAAATAAAATTGATAAAAAAACACTGCTAGACATAGTCTGATCTTCCATAAACTTCTTTTTTTTAAAATTACATAGTAAACTTTTATGTTACTAAAAGCAGTTAGACATAAAAATTTTACGTGAATTATAAATTATTAATTTTTACTATGCACATAATTGAAAAATTGGTCGTTATATTGTACGTGCTTCAACATACATCACATTGATTTAAGATGTGTATATTTTATATGCTTTTTATATTGTATTAAATGTATGTTTAAGAGAAGAGAAAAAGGGTCAGCGATAATATAATATACGTGTGATCCGTATGATTGAAGATAATGCGTCGAGAACACAATTTCTATGTATGTATACACGAGCAACCATGTGTGTATTCATAGGTCACAGCGATAAGAACTGGTAAGGGTCATTCCTTGACTTGCGTGAACTCAGTTTGCTTTCGCTCAGCTACGATCACACATCATGAGGTTCACAGGTATAAATCGCGCATATATTATTAAAATATTTATTTGAAAAGAAGAAAGAAGAAAATTATATTCCTACAAGCAAATATATTTATTTTGGCATTGTAACAATGTATTACTAAAATTTAGGAGAATATCAATTTACTTTCTGTCTTTAATATACTTTACTGCAAAAGTTTTTAAAATTTCTACATAAAAAAGTAAAAATTGTAAAGCATGCGTTTTATTGAAGGATAGAAAATGATTCTGATATACAAATCACGTAAAGAAAATCCTTTTTTTGCAGATTTTGGTTTTAAACCAGCGAAAGGAATGGAAAGAACATTATTCATATTCTTATTCTTAAGCAGTGGAAATGTTGCGCAAAGTTTTTTTAACTCTGGGATGGAATACGAATATTCTTACAATGCTATTTCGAGCACTGGTGTATTAGTGCCATCCAATGCTGCTTCCTCGTGGAGTCTCAATGGGAAGCTCATAATTCAGGCGGAAAACGACTATGTCACAATACAGGTATTTTTAAAAAAATACATATATAATTTCACTTCTTTACTTTTATTTTTTCCCGATACAAAAACCGAAGTACGATTTTACAATAATTTATTTCTCAAATAAATTAATGTATTGCAACTTTTGATATAACATTCCGAATATTTCTTGCCAGTTACAATCACTGAAGACGAGTATGTGGAATGGAAATGTAAACGAAACAGGTACAGAGATCGATATCTACGACGACGCCTTGGAACTTTTGAAACCCTTTCAAATATCATACAACAAAGGACTCGTCGAGAACTTCAGCACCGAGGCGGAATCTGTGTGGGCGACGAATATAAAACGGAGCATAGCTGGAATTTTACAACTGGACCTTGTTAATTTGGAAAAACAGATTGCGTTTCAGTCTACCGAAGTAAGCTACAAGCGTTTGTAGATACGCACGGATGTATGCGTTGTGAATCATAAATAACTTCCGTTTCTTTGATAAGCATCTGCTACCGCGGCGGAAGTTCTTTATGACTCAATCTAATATCTTCTATAATGTTTGAACACAGATTTCACAAATATAATATTGACATATGTTGTATATATTGACATATTCGGCAAAAATCATAATTTGCAGATTAATCATTACGGAAAGTGCGATATTGATTACGTTGTAAGCAGCGAGGGTGAAGATCAGCGTTTGATAAGAAAATCGCTAGATCCGCGAATGTGTATCGGGCATCCGTGTCGCAATTGGTCGAATGTTCCTAATGTACAGTGTACCGATGAAGACCAAGTATGTAATCGCCCCCCTGATATTCCAATTACTTATGTAATTAATATAGTTTAACAAATTATGCCGTATGCAATTAATATATCAACACTTTCAGAATCCTATTCTCAAAAGTAGCGAGAGAATATATGCACTGCAAACCGATGGAACCGATCACAATATCATGTCCGTCAATGCATCCGGAAGTATTTACGTTCAGCCCTTTCAAGGCATGGGAGAGGCACACTATCATCTTGTTCAGTATGTTAGATACACTTGCATTATTAATAAATAACTTTTAATGAATAAATGTATAAAAAGATGAATCTCTATTTTATCACAAAACAGATAAATCACTAATCAATCTTGTTTTGTTCCACGCAGGCAGACTATCGTATTAATCTCAAAGAAACGTATAACGAAAAAGATCGTTACGAATAATTTACGAAATACAGTTCTTCAACACGAGCTGCCGGAAGAAGATCTCACGCAAGGTAGAAGCACGCCAGATAAAGATTTCGCCTTCAAATCTGTAAGTTTATTTCTCTCAAATTTTCTTTCACATCTATTTTTGATTGCAATCAAATATTAATTTTTTGTAGATAAGCCACTTATTGGATCGTTTGAGCCACAGGCTCGAGAATCCCGGTTTGGATACTGAAATTCACAATCTGCACAATACAACGATATCCGTGCTTCTTTATTATCTCGGTATGCTGGATCGTGTTGATTTGGACAAAGCCTACAATCGGATCTCGGGAACTAGTTACAAAGAGGAAACAGTACGGTAATACGATTGTTCGCGATCTCAATGTCTTTAGGATGAATTTTTATATCTCTATATTTGCCTCTAATGTAGGAATATGTTCCTCGAGGCGCTGCCGCAGGTCGGCAGTAAGGAATCCGCGCTGTTCATATTGGATCTTATTCAAAAGAACAAAGTATCCGACATGTCTGCGATTCAGCTTCTTATGCGACTACCGTTTCACATAAGAAAGCCTGATGTTCAACTATTGGTCAGCCTACAGCCGTTCCTCGCGCTGCCGAGCAAGATCTCCGCCCAAGTGCAAAATACCGCGATCCTCACGTACGGGACGTTGATATACAAGACCTGCCTGGTGCATTGTCCGTACGAGATGCTGGACGATTACGTGCGTCTGTACCTCGACAAATTCACAGGTACCAAATATCGACTTCATTTTCCATTTGCACCATTCGAATAAAAGCTGCGTCATCCGATTCGTGTTACAGAGACTACTCAATATGGGCAGAAGATGATCTGGCTAGAAGGTTTGGCAAACATACAGCTAGGCAGAGTTGTCGAATTCTTGGAGCCCATAGCCAGCGGCAACAATGCTGAATCGCGGCACTTTCGGGTGCTCGCGGCTTGGGCTTCTCTTCCCACGGCACCATTGCGGCCCGACGTTGTGAGCAATCTTTAAACCGTGCCTATTCGAGGGGACTTTATACGGATTAATTTCATGCTGCATGTAAATATTTATTCCCTTGCAGATTTATCCTGTATACTGGCCGATCTTAATCAATAGAACCGAGCATTTGGAGATGAGAGCCGCTGCGTTAACTTTGCTCGTTGTTTCGAGTCCTACGCCTAACAGATTGATGTCTCTGTATTGGTACATGCAAAGTGAGCCCAACCAGCATCTGTACAATTACTTTTACACAATGTTAAAATCTATGGAACGCACCACGTACCCTTGTTACAAACGCATGTGAGCACGCGTATAAATTTATCAACCAGAAGCGAAACGACGGCAGTGAATTTTCATTTTTTTTTACATAATTCTAACTATTAATCACTATTGCATATTTTTGCAGAGGCAGAATTGCGGCACAATTCAGCCGCATACTTCAGAAACCGACGAATGGCGAATATCTTGTTACTGGTAATTATTTAATGGATTATCAAGATTCCTCGAGGAGATTCGGCGCTATGTTGAACGGCGTCATCATAGCCAATCCTTCAACAAATATTCCGGAAGTGATTTACGTAACTTTGAATAATTACGGTAGCGGTACGCATATCAATCATGTATCCGTAAGTATGTTTCCAAAGCGACAACATTCCATAATGCAGACATTGGTGAATTTAATTGCTATATCCTTCAATGCAATATTAGTTGTATGTCAGAGCGGAAGGGATCTTCCATTCATTGGCGACTTCCGCCGAAAACCCGACGAATATAAAAGATATTCTGAAAGAATTCAAATTGAATGAACGACAAAAGGGACCCGTGCATTTAGAAGTAATTGCGCGTATTCAAGACAAAACAGTGTTGTGCGTTCACTGGAATGAAACGAATATAATCGATGGATTGAAGCGTAAGTTTGTAACTTACGTTACGCAGTTATAATAACTGCAACGTAATTCATGCATTTAATCTTCTAGACTTGTCTTCTTTATCGGACAACATGTATCATATGTATCACAACATGGAATTTCACGTTAATCAACAACGTATAAACGTGCCGCTGACCATAGAATCGGTGCAAGTGACCGATTTCGGCACTAACGTTAGACTTGCAATGACGGGAACGTCGTTGTTCTCAATGAGAGGAAATTTCACACGCGATTTTCCTAGACGAAATAATCATGTTATTTTACGGTAAAATTATATTTTATATATAGCTATGTGCAGTTTATAGTTTTAATCGTGCGCCTTTCTAAAATATTGTTCTAAAAATTGTGTCAAATTATTAATCCATGTAATCGATATTCTTTTAGCACATCTGTCCACGGTATTGAAATAATAGAGAATTACAATCCATTGCTTGATTTGTGGCATGGTGCCGAGAGGGTTCAGTCGCTGCATGGATATCTTCCTATTAACATTACAATCGGACTCGACGAGCATCCGTTTATTTCGTACAATACTCTAGGAGGTATCGGTCCTATTTTATTAAACGTTTTTTTTTTTGTTACATTTGTCAATTGTTACCACTTAACGATATCCAAAGTGATTCATAGAAATCGTAATTTATTTCTTCCAAATAAAATATTAAAAGGTTTCATAATTATCTTACATCTCGTCTTTTTATACTAAACTCGCATTGCAGGGCATCTTAAGACGGGAATTACAGCACACGCTAAAACGCTTACAAGCGTTAGGGGTGTCAATGTTAAATCGAAGTTGGAACGAGCTTGTCGTTTGTGTCCTGCGTCATACACAGTTACAAAATCGCCTTCCTCTAATCCGAAAGTAAGCGATTTAAAAGCACAAACAATTAATGAAGATGTAATCCATTCTTCTTTCCTTCCTTTTTCCATAGACTGTGAATATTATTGACGCTGGACTTCCCGAAATAGGCGGTCGACTGCAAGTAAAGGTATTTGATTGCGAAAGCACCGTATCTCAGGAAACGTTGTTCAACGATATTTGGTCCTCTCATCGAAGCAACTATCAGTAAGTAATGTAATCGATATATTCACTATCGTTATTATATAATCATTGTGAAATAAATCTTAATTTAATCGTCATGAATATTATAGAACGTGGCCAAGCATGAAATTTACTTTAATCGGACTGCATTTCTTGGATTACTTGACTTACTTGCCACCAAAAGGCAGTTGTGGATTAGCTGCTTATATCGAGTCACTCGAATCGGGACCATTGCAGGTGAGACCATCATATATATTTAAGTGGAATCATGAAAGTCAAGAGACAAATGTCTCCTATAAGATATATAAATGCAAAATAAATCATCCTAAACCAGATTAGTTTTATATATTGAATGTTTTTTATAGACGAAATTGGAATATTTGAAAAACGAGAAACATCACATTTTCTCCTTTACACACTACAACTTGGAATCTTCGAAAGTTCTTCATCAGTGGAACCTGGCTGCGTTATATGAAAGTACCAGTTCGTTGTCGGATGTCCTTAAAATTAAGGCGACCGAAATCGTGCCTGATGAACGCGTATTCAAGGTAAATTGAAAGATTTTACTACGACAATTCTGAGTAAAACTGAAACTGATCGATTGATTCAGTTTTGCGTAGAGGCCGAAAGACACGTACCGTGGCAATGGGAATTTTTGAGCGACAAACCGAGCGATTCGTCTCGCATAAAATTAAATATTGTCTGGGGATCGTCCGACACCGCGAAAGGAAAATGCAACGGATCTTCCGTATCGATAAATTTAATTGGCGAAATTAGCAACGAGCAGTTCGAGGAAAGCAAGAAAACAAATTGGCCTTACGGTCAGTGCAAGAAAGAATCTACGGGGAAGAAATTTGTGCCTTACACAGATGCTTGTTACGAAGTATCGAGAGAATTGTCGACCTTGCGGAGATACAAAATCTTCGCAGAATACAAAAATGTAAGTTATAGATTTTCTAAAATTTTATACGCAACTTTTTATTATGCCATAATAATTATAATGAAAACGACAGTTACCGGAGAACTTATCCAAGTTAGTCTGGAAAATGTATGCCTTATACGACCTGATCGGTGGAAATAGCAGTAACGCTAGAAAATCTGACGAGCCCGTAATAATCGCAACTTTCCCGAAAGAATCGAACGTTGGCGAACTGCAACTCAATGGAGACAAAATTGCCATTGAGTACAATTGGCGTTACATTGATATCTTCCTAGAACGAACGAGAATTCACAAGTATATGGAAATACCTTTAGTTAGAATGTTTTCTAGTAAGTAATGTTATACTGATCGTTTTAGTCGACTTAATTTTAATGAAATAACGATATTCTACGACTTAAAAATTGTTACTTAAAAATTGTTACGAATTGTTTTAATGTTTTAAATTTTAGGCACGTGCATCATAACGAAAAATTCCATAAAATCAGCATACAACACGGTTTACACTTTCGCTAAGAATAGTGAAGTAATATTACTCGGACAATGCTACGACGAGAACCCTAGACTTGCGTTAACGGCAGCGAACGGTGCATATGGAATCAATATAAACTTGACTGACGAATCAGGAACTACGTGGATTACAGCCGGTGAAGATAAAGGAACCTTGTATAATGCTACGTCAAATATACAGTTGCAATCTAATCATGTATTTTATACACTGGGAACTAAAAAGTAAGTACAGAAAATGATATCTAATGTTAAACGAGAAGAGCAAGAGTAAAATAAATCCGGGGTTTACCGACGTCTACTTTACACACAGACGGGATTATATTAAAAATTTGTAACAATTTATTTTTTTAATTTATCAAGAATGGATTTATATTACTCTTGCTGTTTAAATATAACACCAAAAAATTCACCAACTATCGTATGTAGGATCAAAACGGGCGACAATGCGATCGACATCTTGCTACCCAACATTTTTCTACATATGCATTGGACGCAAGAGCAAGTTCTACTCTTTTTCCCTAACCACGTGTTAGAATTTAGTTGTGGAATATGTACGCTTGACCATCCCAACATCGATAGATTATACGAAAAAGTCTAATTCAATATGTAAAAAATATATGTATATATGCGACAAGTCAACGATTCTTACGATATTTGATATACTCATAGATAATTAGATATTAAAATATCACAAAATAATATGATAGTGTTATTCATTACTTTTTAATATCTGATAAACGGTATAATACAAAAAATTGTATTATTGTAAATTGTATAATCTAATTGTATTATTAGAGCTCGAATCTTCGGCCGTCGGAACCAATTAGTCAATCAATATTCGAAATTTTATCGCACAAAGTCAGTTTGTTATTGTTAATGAACTAATTATTAATGAACAATTGCTAGATAGTACAAGCCGAACATCCGAGCCGCGGACACAATTATATTACATTTTTTTTCTGTTGTAAACTACAAATTTTAAACAGGTAATAAGCAGATCTAATGCATTAAACTAAATGACTGAATGATTAAAGCTCTAGATTTTAATTACTAGCCTTAAATGCGTTTGTTTACTATTTATTATAAAATAAATCTTAAAAATATTAGATAACGAATTTTAGATAAATGATAAAACTTATTTATTAACCAGTCTTAACTGTTACAGAACTTATACTATGCTAAATTATATACGCACGCACGTTACATTAAATACACGGTACATAAACTACGATGATTCTTACACAATTTCGATAAATTATTTCGTGGTTATACTTTCTTTCATAACACAATTAATTAAAAATTATAGATATAAGTTTTATTGTGATGTACTTTAAAATCTCATATATTTTCGATAAAAAAAAAAAAAAA